GGACTTTGGGCCCTTGTCGAAGATCAGGTGACCATAGGTGGATGGATTTACATCTGGGTTCTCAATTCTGTTCCATTGGTCAATGTATCTGTCATTGTGCGAGTACCAGGCTGTTTTGACTACTGTAGCTGTATAATAGGTTCTGAAGTCAGGTAGCACACATTATTTTTAAGTAAGCCTTAAACTGACTGCATTAAGAGAAGTATTCCAGAAGTAAGATGGGTACATTTTCAGGAATTTCAAAAAAATAGAAATTTTGAAATACAAATGTTCTAGAGTCTTGTCTGCCACAAAAATGTTCCATAAACTAAAATGTAGAGTACTAGAAATTACTTTATTATGTGATTCTAATCTTAGCAGTTTGTATATAGTTATTGTAAATCATTCTGGTTTTATAAACTTAGCTTTTCTTGTGTTTTGTTCCCATTGCTTTCTTGTCTCTCACTTGAGTAGACCATGTCTGGACAGAAGTCTATTCTCCTTCTCAGCAGCGATGGCTGCACTGTGATGCGTGTGAAGATGTCTGTGACAAACCGCTCCTTTATGAAGTAGGATGGGGCAAGAAGATCTCCTATGTGATAGCATTCTCTAAAGATGAGGTAGGACATAGAGAAAAAAACATTTTTCCCAGAATAAAATAAAATAATACAGTTTTTTATTTATTTATTTTGACAGGTTTGTGGAAGCATAATTGACATACAATAACTTGCATCTTTTTAAAGTGTACAATTTAATAAATTTTGACATTTGTATATATCCATGAAATCACTACCACAGTCAAGATAGTGAACATATCCATTATCCCCAGAAGTTTCCTTATCCCTCTTTCCTGCCCTTCCCCAGGTAGCCACTGATGTGCTTTGTGTCGCTATAGATTAATTTGCATTTCTAGAGTTTTATATAAATGGAATCATAGAGTATATAATCTTTGGTGGAGCGGGGTTCTGGTTTCTTTCACTCAGTGTAATTATTTTGAGATTTATCCCTGTGTTTGCGTGCATCAATAGTGTGTTCTTATTTACTGCTGAGTAGTGTTCCACTGTATGGATGTACCATAGTTTATCCACTTTACCTGTTAATGGACATTTGGGCAGTTTCCAGTTTTTTACTGTTTCAAATAATGCTGCTCTGGATATTCATGTGGAAGTCTCTCTATGGGCATACACTTTCTTTTCTCTTCAGTAAAGGCCTAGGAGTAGAATGGCTGGGTCACATGGTGTATGTTTAGCTTTTTAAGAACTGCAAAAGCATTTTCCAAAGGGATTTTGCCATTATACTTTCTCACCAGCAGTATTTAAGTGTTCCCAGTTTCTCTGTATCCTCGCTAAGTAACACTAAGTTCAGACTTTTAAATTTTAGCCATTCCAGTAGGTGTGCTGTGGTATGTTATTGCGGTTTTCACTTGCATTTCTCTACTGAGTTATATGGAACATCTTTTTATGTGCTTTTTTGCCATCAGTCTGCCCTCTTTGCCATTTTTTAAGTTGCATTGTTTGTTTTCCTGTTGTTGAGTTCTGAGAGTTCTTTACGTATTCTGAATAAAAGTCGTTTATCAGGCTCATGCTTTGCAAAGGTTTTCTTACTCTCTGTGGCTTGTCTTTTCATTCTCTTGACAATAACTTTTGAAGAGAAGAAGTTTTTAATTTTGATGAAGTCCAGTTTATCAATTTTTTTGTTTTGTAGATTGTGCTTTTTGTTGTCATATCTGATAAATCCTTGCATAGTTTAAGATCACAAAAATTCTCCCGTTTTCTTTTAGAAGTTTTATATTTAGACCTGTGATCCATTTTGAGTTCATTTTTGTCTATGGTCCAAGGTTTGGATTGAAGTTCTTTTTTTTTTGCATGTGGGTAACCAGTTGTTCCACCACCATTTGGTGAAAAGATTGTCCTTTCTCCATTGAATTATCTTTGCACCTTTGTCAAAAATCAGCTGCTCTTAATACAATTGTAATGCAATAAAAATGGAAAAAGTTTTCTTTTTAATATTATGAAATCAGCTTTGTAGATAACTTAAAAAAAAGTATTTACTTTTGAAAAATGTTATCTTCTTACCTCAGTTTTTCTTGGAAGTGTACCTATAAGAAAATGAATAAAAAGCATATTCTCTTCAATTTCTTTCACAAGGATTTAAATTTTAAATAAAGGATGATATTTTAAAAATTGCATTTAACAGTTGTATTCATTCTAGCAAATCTAGTATTTAGCAGATCAAGATTGATAGTGGTAATCTTGTTAAATATTTATGTTCTGTGATTTGTTTGAGGTGGTTGATGTCACTTGGCGATATTCTTGTAAACACGAAGACGTAATCTCTAGAAGAACTCTGGTTAAAGAAGAATTACTTCGAGAAACTATTAACGGGCTTAATAAGCAGGTAAGTAATTGGGATTTGTCGTTTTTGAGAGGATATTTGAGGTTTTGAATATAATCGAGAATAGCCAATTTTCAACTCATTGAAATTCTTAAAGTACTAGCATTATTTTGCAAACAAATATTTAAATATGCTAAATGTCTTTTTGTACATTGAAAATTTGAGGACTCATTTTAAGTAAAATATTGTGTTTTACTTCTGTTATTTTGGATTAAATTGACCTGTCTTTTCTCAAAGTTCAGTGAAACAAATTTCAGTATATATAGTACTTGTCATAAAGTGCCGTTTTATTTATCAAAGTAGTTGTGTCTTGAATGTAATCAAGCGCGCGCGCGCGCACACACATGCTTGTACATTATGGAATTTCTGAAACAAAGCACAGGAAATTGTTAACACTGGCTACTTCTGAGAAGAGGAACTGGGTGTCGAAGTGGGAAAGTACACTTTTTATCTTATACTCTTTGGTAGTATTAAATTTTTTTTTTTTTTTTTTTTGTATACATGAGTTTTTTCCCATAAGTAAGAAAAACAAAAGCAACTAATGTTACTTCTGGCAGACAGTTAGAAAGAGTGTATCACCTTAATCTAACCAGTCATTGAGTTTATTCACAGTGAGGTTTCATTCTGTTTTCAGTTTGCCCTTACATTTAAGCGTAGTCCTTCAGAAACCCTAACCAGAAAACCTGGAGTATTTACTAGGGCCCCTCACCTTGGCGATCTCTGAACCCCAATCTATTTTCTCATCAGCACCACGAGTCTACTAAAAATTCTGCTTCGTTTTTCAGTGCTTTATCCACTACTTTGTGCTTGGCTTCTCAGCCTCTCTGCAACATTGCTACTTAAAAATTGGCAAATACCTGGAAGGGAAAATAGGCATACCTAGTAGGTTTGCCTCACCTCAATTCATCTCTTCTCTTGGGATCTTGGCTTCTCAATTTCTGGCTACCTTGGTAGCTTTCTGATGCATTCAGACAGGTGTTTGTATGTATATGTCTGTGTGTGTTTTCCCCAGCTTTTGTTGATTTTCTCAATAGGGCATTTGGTCACTGGTCTGAATCAGCTAGTCCATCATAGCTGGAAACAGAAGTTATTACTCCCATTTCAAATCTAGGACAGTAGAGGCCGTGGAGAGATGGAAACAGGTGTTAAATGATTTCTCAACATAAAATATGTAAATTTATTATAAGCTTTACACAATGTCCTTTTTATTTTCCAAATAAAGTATGTATGAAAATAAAGTTAGTTACTTCTTTCAACATCCCCTTAAAATGCGAATGTTCTAAGTATATTCTTGCTTAGAGATAGGCCTCAACATTCTCCTAATCTTATCAATGTATTTTTTTAACATGAATTATAGAGGCAGCTATCTTTGTCAGAAAGCCGAAGAAAAGAACTTCTCCAGAGGATAATTGTGGAGCTTGTTGAATTTATATCTCCTAAAACTCCTAAACCTGGAGAACTGGGTGGAAGAGTATCTGGGTCTGTGGCTTGGAGAGTAGCCCGAGGTGAAATGGGCTTAGAGGTATTTAATTCATTGTATCTTGATATTCTTTTCACTTTCCTGCTTCCCAAACTGCACTGTTTGATTACAGGAAAATGCATTGGCCATGACCTTTCAATTAACTTTGCAGCAGAATTATTAAAATATGTAAACATTTGGGGAAAAAAAAAAACATTGCTGTCGAGTTGATTCTGACTCATAGTGCCTCTATAGGACAGAGTAGAACTACCCCATAGGATTTCCAAGGAGTGGCTGGTGGATTCGAACTGCCGGTCTTTTGGTTAACAGCCATGTGCTTAACCATGGCTTAACCAGGGCTCTAATAATTGTTTGACCTAGTATAATCACATGCACGGGTTAGCAAAGCATTTTACAGTTGGATTTTTCTATTTTTTACATTATGTAAATATTTAGTGCAGTATAACTTAAACTGAAGTACATACAGAAATACGCACGATTCATAAATGTACAGCTTAATGAATTTTCACAAAATGAGCACCTGTGTAACCACAAACTAGTATAAAAATAGAACCTAAAAAAAGAGAAAAAGAAATAGAACCTCTTCAAAACCCCAGAAACAACTGTGAGTTCCCTTCCATTCACTGCTTTCCATCCCTAAGAGTAATCGTGATCCTGGCTTATAGCATCATAGACTAGAGTTGCTGGTTACTTTGCTTCGTGTATGTGGAATCATACCTACTTTGTATGTGTATGACTTCTTCCATTCAATATTATGTTAGTGGGATTCATATATTTTGTTGCATGTTTATGGTACATTTATTCTCATTGCTATTTAGTATTCCTTGGTATGAATATATAATAATAATAAATAATAAACCAAAAAAAAAAAAACCCATTGGCATCGAGTCAAGTCTGACTTATAGCGACCCTGTATGACAGAGTGGAACTGCCCCATGGGGTTTCCAAGGAGCAGCTGATGGATTTGAACTGCCAAGCTCTTAACCACTGCACCACCAGGGCTCCGTAATAAATAATACTCTTTATTAAATCACTGATATAATTGACTTATCCACTCTATTGTTGGTGGGCATTTGGGTTGTTTGTAGCACTGTTACAAATTGTGCTCCTGCAAACATTGATACCCATGTTTTAGTGAAGAGAGTGAGAGTCCTAGTCTCAGTGTATGAGTAGGTTCAGCTTTAGATGCTGCCATATAGTTTCCCAAGTGGTACACCAGTAACACTCTCACCAGGAGCATATAAGATTCTTTCCCATTTTTGCCTACACTTGATATTGCCTGTTGTTTTCACTTTAAGCAGTTCTGGTGTTATACAGAAGTATTATTTTATAATTTTCACTTTCATTTTGCTGATGACTAATGAAGTTGAGTGCCTGTTCTTTAAACATTTGGATATCCTCTCAAGAATTGCCTGTTCAAGTCTTTTAAAATGGGATTTTAATGCATTTAAGAGAGCCCTGCTTTGCCTTTTTTATTTTTGCTGTATGAAAACTTCATAAAGTACAGTGGGAAAAATATAAACTGTGGATAATTAAATCAATGAAAGTATATATTTCATGATAGATACCTGTGTATATCTGAAATTACTGTTGTTGGTGTGATTGCTATTATATTGTCAAACTTATTTTAAGATATTATCATTTGATTAATCTCCCTAAATAATGAGCAATGGAAAGATAATTTCTCTAGTTCAGTCTTATAGTTATGGGTTAAGTGAAAAGCATTGTGCTAGGCTGTGCAGTGGATGTTAAGGAAGTACGACAGACTGTCCCTTGCCTTTAATGGGCTTAAAGTTGATTCACTGGAGAGTATTTAATATTAGATGTTTAGGAAAATGTAATGAAAATGCTTGAAAGGAAAATAACCCATCACAGTATTAATATCAAAGAATTCCAAACAAATTGTAGTTTTATATCTACTTTTTCTAAGTTTGCCATTGTTGCAACTCATTGCTCTAGTCTAAAAGGGGTGACTTATCCCCAGTAAATTTTACGTTTACTTTTTAATTTATTCCATCTTCTGTAGCAGGCAATTGAAAGTGTTGGTTCAGCCATAGAATTACAAGTTCTAAATTCAGATAATTCAGATCACTGCTGATGCAATCCAAGTTACAAGTATAAATCTAAATGAAGCCAGTTAAAAAGAGCTAATTTAATTCACAGCTGTTTTCAATTTAAAACATGGCTATTATTTAGGTCTTCATTTCTTTTTCTTTGTATGGATGAATTTACTTCCTCTTGCACAGCATGTAAATAGATTAAACTTTGAAAATATTAATTGGGTTATATGTGGATTGTTTTCTCTTTTGAATTTTTTTTGTTTTAATTTCTCAGTTACTGGGGTCCATATTTGGGGCATGAATTAAAAGAGAAATCATTTTCCCTTTAAAAATGAATGTTTGTTTTAAAAATACCAATCCTAAAAAGTTTAGAACTGCACCTCATTTCCAGAAAGAAGAAAGAATTTATCTTAGATTGAAAACATTTTTAAAATATTAATGTTACTCTTACTTTAGTTTACTTTGTTCAGTTGCATATGTGCTGTGTTCGGTAACATGCTTTTTTTTTGTCTTTGCCATTTGGTAATCAGTTAATCCTTGGTGAAATAGTAGACAGTGCTGCTTTTCAATTTTATTTTCATTTGGTTTATGTCAGCGCTCTCAAATATCTTTGCAGAAGAAAAGAATTGGAAAGTGTTTCCATGTGCCTGTTTTGAAGTTTAGCATACTAATTCATAATTGTAAATTAATTTCTAAAAATAAACTGCTTTTAATGCTGTGTCTTTTTGGCAGCAAAATCCACACTTTTTATTAGGGAAGTATCTTCTTGTTCATACATGTAATGGCACTATTTTAACATTCTGATAGTAATACATATAAATATTTGTCTTCCTGTTTCTAGGATTTTTTTATATACTGTTTAGTAATTATTGTGCATTTGGAGTTTTTGTATTGTTTAATACCTAGTGCCCCCCCCAAAAAAAAAAATACTGCCTACTCTACTGAATGGTTAGTATGCATTCCAGCAAGATGTTGACATAGTCTAGAGCAGTGGGCCTTAATGGTGGGTGATTTTGTGCCCCAGAGCACATTTGGCAACGTGTGGAGACATTTTAGTTGTCACAACTGGGGAGGCTGGGGGAGGGGGAGAGATCCACTGGCTTCTAGTGGGTTTAGGTCAGGGATGCTGCTAAATATCCTGCAGTGCACAGGACAGCCCCTCACAACAAAGAATTATCTGGCCCCAAATAGTGATAATGCAGAGAATGAGAAATCCTGGTCTAGAACCAAGCTCCTACGCTGGGCTACTATGCCTGTATCTAAGGAGGAGGGACAGTTGTGTGAATGGCACATAAAGACACTGAATAAATACAGCATCTTTCTCAAACCTGAGGTTCATTCAGAGATTTCAGGAAGTAGGGAACTATCTTATGTTAATCCCTTAGATATTTGCCTAGAATTTTAAGGTAAAACATGAGCTTTTGCAATAATACCACACGTGTACAAAATTGTTTCAAGCTATACCTCCCAGGTAATCTCCTGGCGTAGGGTATCAGGAAAGGCCACTCTGATGAAATGGCTTTAGGTTGGGGCCTGAAGGGTGAGAAAGCATCCAATGTATGAAGAGTAGAAAGAACAGCATTCCAGACAGAGAGAACAGCGTGTGTCAAGGCACTGAGGCAGGAAAGAGCTGAGCCTGTTGGAGGCACTAAAGGAAAAGTAATGTGGTGGGAGCATAGAGACCAAAGGGAAGAGAGTAACAAGAGATCTGGTTGGAGAAATAGGCAAGGGACAGATCATAAAGGGCCCTGTTAGCCTTAGTAAAGAGATTGGAATTTAAGTACCGTGGGAAGTCAGTGGGGTGTATTAAACAGGAAAGTGGGTTTTTTACATGGTTTTTAAAATAATTTTCACTGCTATGTGGAGCCATGGATACAAGAGGTAAGAGTTGAAAACTGGAGTCAGGTTTAGGAGACTACCATATTTTTTTCGTAAGTAATGTGCCCACGTAAATAACATGTCAACACACACACATACAGTGCGCATAGCACACCTAGGAGAATAATGCTTGAGGGGATTGAGCAATTGGCAAAAAACATATAATGCATGCATTATTTGCATAAAATACCTTATTGCAATAGTCCAAATAAAAGATGGTGGTGGAGGTGGAAAAGAAGAAAACATGGATTCAGGTTAAACACAAAATCACAAAAATGTAAATCAGCGCTGAAGTTTATATTTCCTGTTCTGTGTCTGGTAGTGTTCATTGCTATATCAGCATCATATTGATTATATTTAATCATAAAATATTTTCAGAATTGTCCAGTGGCACCAGTTTTTCTTTTTCAATTTAAGATTTTGCCTTTCTCAAGTCATAATATTTTTAAGGGAGGAGTCTGTTACCAATATACATAACAGTTCCTCTTTTTGTTTGTTTGCTTTACATCTTCTGTTATGCTGCAAACCTAATTCTGTTTTCTTTTTAAGAGAAAAGAAACTGTGTTCATCCCCTCTGAAAATGAGAAGATTTCTAAACAGCTCCACCTTTGTTATAATACTGTGAAAGATGGCTATATCCGAGTTTCAGATAACAATCAAGCCATTTCTGGATGGGAGAATGGTGTGTGGAAAATGGAATCCATATTCAGAAAAGTTGAAACAGACTGGAACATGGTAACTTAATGCATGAAACTGTGTTTAAATCCTTTGCCAGTGTTCAAACAAATAGAGATTGGCTTCATTTTTCAGTTGTGCATAAGGCAAAAAACTGATATATCACAATTATTTGTAGCAATCCTTTAACTGTACAGAAAATCCTGCTCCCAACATATAATTAAAGGTCCACTAGAAATTATTGCATTTCTATTAAGGAAGTATCCATCTTCATGAAAGAAGTTGGAAGGAAATAATCAAGTGTATGACCAATCCATGTGACTGTTTTCTTGCATGAATATATAAAATATATTGCTATTTAATTTCTTTACAGATATATATTGATTGCCTACTTAATAGGCTACTAGGGTGTATACTGTATTTTTATGCAAATAATGCGTAGTTTCTGTGTTTGTATGCCAGCCACACCCTCCCCCTGTCAATTCTCTTCCAAACGTTGCTATTAAAAAAACACTTAGCATAGCGCACTCACCAAACTACCTGGGGGCGGTGGGGGGGGGGTGGCTGGCTGGCAAGCAAACACAGCAAGTGCGTGTTATTTGTGTAAAAATCAGTGATTATTTAGTTCCAGGTCCCAAGAAGCAACCCTGTAGCAACCCTGTAGCAAGCTTTCATTTTACAAGGATGTGGATGATTGAGCAGCAATATCAATTATCTCTTCTCTGTGTCCTAAAAGTAAATAAATAAATGGAGGCTAGGACTATAGTGACCAGGTGCCATCAACTTGACACCAACTTTTGGTGACCCCATGTGTGTCAGAGTGGAACTGTGCTCCTTAAAAGAGTTTTCAATGGCTGATTTTTCAGAAGTAAATCTCCAGGCCTTTCTTCCAAGGTGCCTCTGGGTGAACTTGAACCTCCAACCTTTCGGTTAGCAGCCAAGTGAATTACCAACAGGGCCACCTATGGTGAACAGGTTTCAGCAGAACTTCCAGAATAAGACAGACTAGGTAGAAAGGCCTGGCAGTCTACTGAAAATTAGCCAATGGATCACAACAGAATATTGTCTGATATAGCGCTGGAAGAAGAACCCCCTAGGTTAGAAGGCACTCAAAATACACAGTGGCTACAGCAGTGGATTTGAACATACCAGTGATCATGAAGCTAGCGCAGGACTGAGCAACGTTTCTTCTGTTGTGGGGTTGCTGTGCGGTGGAACCAACTTTATAGCAAGTAACTACTATAGGACCATGGTAGTTCACTTATACCAAGTTGCACATTGCTGTCACGTGGTAACTGTAACATGGAAAAGACTTTACTTTTAGACTGCCCTGTCCCCTAAACATATGCCAGAAATAAACTCAAAGCTATTTAGATGACCTTAATAGATCTGACCATATTATTGATAGATTTTTGTAGGATTTATTAACTTATAGGGATACTTTAATGTTAACTTGTCAAGATGTTTGCGTGAGAAGGGAAGTCATTCATTTGTAAGACATATTGGATAGATTTTTAAAAAGTGAGTTGCAGATTAACAGCTGCTGGTGTTTATGAGCATATACTATATGCTTATCGCTGTCCTAGGCAATAATCAGAGAACAAAAGAAATTCAAAGATAAGATCCCTGCTTCCCCCCACCCCCAATTATAAGTTATTCCAAAGTTTATCTTGGTGCTTAAACATATGAATATCCAATTTAAATCACATTTGTTTTCTAAAGCAAAAGTAGGGATCTTTCTGTATTAAACCAAGAATAGCTTTATAGGATTATTAAAATTATAGATTTATTAATTGTCTTCTTACCTAAAGAAAAGCTTAAACAATAAAACAAGATAAAATGTAAAACTTCAACTTGAGTATATCGATAGTTGATTATATAATTGATGAGAGAGGATTAACTTCTGGAAAACTATCCTTAGCTAAAAAATTCCTCTGACCAAAAAGGAAGATAGGAGTGTTACTTATCCAAGTACCAGTCTGTACTTGCTAAACTGGGGAAAGATCCCAGCTGTCTTCCTAACCAGCCACGTTAATGTGCCGCAGAAGCTCACGTGGAGAAACAGGTCTATTATACGGCGTATTTCTTCCTTATCCTTTTCACTTGTTTGTCCATCGGCACACATTCACTAAGTGCCCGTTGTGCCAGGTGTTGATCTCAGCTACGTGGATAAAAAGATGAAGAAGACAGAGTTCCTGCTCTCACCATCTAGCGGGAAACTGAAGCAGAAACAGCCATCTTAACCACGCTGCAGAGTGCTGCAGTAAGGATGTCAGCACATTGCTATGGAAACACCGAGGAGGGAGTAATTAGCTATGGCTGTGGGAGTTGAGCAAAGCACCACAGAGCAGGCGACATTTGAGCTGGACGCCGAAGGATGAGTAGGTGTTCAGCAGGCCAGGGAACAACAGGAAAAAAGGTGCAGAGTGCGTGGTATGTTTGGATTTCCTAAAATCGAACAATGTGGCCAGAGGGTGCTTTGTCTGAGAAGGATTTAAGTAATGTAAATGAGATGCAAAGGCCATAAAATAGAAAACAGGCCCCTGCTCAAGAAAAGCTTATGCCTTAACATACTTATATGAAGGGCACCACTTTATAAAAGTTGAATGACTCCTTTTCCAGCTATAGCATTTAGTATCAGAAGAAGAAAAATACAAGAATCTTCACTAGCAGAGACCAATAACTCAGAAGTAACGTATTGTCAGTAAAACTTGTGTTTTCCACCTAAATTAAGTCAGCATTTCTGGTTCTGTACTAGCATGCCCCAGTTAGGGGTCCTCTAGCTCTGTTGAATCCATAGAAGCCTATTTCTCACTGCTTTCCTCAGTAATCATCAGTTGGGTATCACAACAGAGCACATGTAGCCTGCTCCCAGGTTTTCAGAATGATTCTTCCTCTCAAAGCTGTATCCTCCCTGCAGCATAGACGCTTCCTGAATTTTGTTGTTATTTGCCGTCAAGATGATTCTGACTCAAGGCAACTCCATGTGTGTGGAGTAAAACTGTTCCACAGGGTGTTCAAGGCTGTGATCTTTTGGAAGCAGATCACCAGGACTTTCTTCTGAGGCACCTCTGGGTGGGTTCGAACCAACAACTTTTCGGGTTGGTAGCCCTGCACTTAACCATTTGCACCACCCACTGACTCCCAGGGACTCTGTTACTGAATTTTACTACTTAGCAAATGCATTGTTCAGTGATGTCTGAGTAGAAAAGAATCTGAGAAGCTTAATCAAGACCAGCACTCTTGTTGAGAGGCACGTGATAACACATTGGTAAAAGTGATGTTAATGTAGCGCCCTGGTCCCTTCAAAGATGCTGTAGCCAGAAAAAGATTTTCTAAAGCCCATGGTCTCTGAGAACTCTTATGGTAAGAACTCCAAGTCTCTTAGAGTCTGGCCCTTGCCGCCTTCTCGCCTTGCACCATGCTACCCCTTGCTCGGCATTGCAGCTGCACTGCACTTCTGCCCTCTCCACAGGACCGCCTTTCTCTTCCTCTTTGTCTGATTAGCGCACTCTTATCCTCAGAACTCGGCTTAAGCCTCACTCCCTCCAGTCTCACTGAATTGTGTCCGTTTCCTCCTTTATGGACTCATTGCACCATGCATCGCCCCGTCGTGACATTGACTCAGTAAAGACGTATGAGGCTAGATGATTGTCTCTCTCCCAGTAGATTGTAGATGTTCTGGGCAGAAGCCTCACCTATCTCTCTCCTGTATTCTCCACACTCGTACATCTAGTTCAGTGCCTGGTACGTAGAGGGTAGGCAGCAAAGATTACTGAAGAAAAAAAGTGAGTGAATGAGTGCATATTGGCATAAATTCTACACCATCCTAGAGCTGCGTGGAGCACCACAGATTCTGTGCCTTTGTTCACACTCTCGCCCCTGGATGCTCTTAGACACCTCGTTTTTTGAGCAGTTTTATTGCTTCTTTGTCACCAGAGACATTTCAGCACTTTTTGGTGCACGGCATTGTGTTAGTAATTCATTCGTTCAGACATTCAGCAAACGTGCATTGCCAGACAGTGTGCTTGGCCCTCAGGATATAAACCTCAAGGTGAGCACAGACTAGTGGAGGAGAAAGACATGTGACCCAGTTCTTTGATGAATGGAGTGAGTGCTGGGCGGTACGAACGTGCATCTGTGTGCGATGCTGGGGGAGGAAGGACAGAAGGCAGAGCCACTAGCTGAGTCAGAAAAGGCTTCGCAGGAGAAGTGATATCTGAGTGGGGTTCTGGAAGAGGTGGGAGAGGGTGTCTGTCAGTGTGGGGAAAGAATGTGGAGGGAGGGTGTTCTGGAGCGTGAGAAGTAGCGTGTGCAAAAGCACAGAGGTGGGAACCATCTGTTGTATTCAGGGAAGAGTGACTAGTAGGGAATATGGGAGAGACTAGTGGGAAATAATAGTAGAGAGGTAAACAGGTGTCCAGTCCCAGAGATTGTGATTACTTTGCAAAGGAGTTTAGGTTTTACCCTGTATGTATAGGAAACGATGTCATAAAGTTGAGGCAGGGAAGGGACATGACCACACTGGTATTCCAGAGAGGTAATTCAGAGGCTGCAAACAGAATACATCAGAAGTTTAGTATAAAGAGATTTAAATAGAGTGGGAACTGACAGTGTATTCATGTTTGATTTCAATGCTAAAATGAAATAACCAAACAGAAGATACATGAGCAGTGCCGGCTTACCTGCACTGAATTAAAACCCTTTGAAAATACAGCTGCTCTGCTGGGTATCTGTAGAAATGACTGACTGCAGGGGGCCTGCAGTATGGTGAACTTAATTAGAGTTAATCTTAGCAGGCTAAGCAGAATAATTTTAAGAGGATACTAAAGAACAACTTCAAACAGTGCAGTGCAAACCAAACTGCTGGGAAACCATAGCAGCGTGCAGACAAGCCTGGCATGTCGTAATCAAAAGCTTTAAGCAAAGATCTGCAGAATGTGCAATACATAAAGAAGCTGACATGTAAATTGTTCTCAGTCTTAAATACACTGGTCACAGCCACAAACCAAAGGACAAGCTTTACTTGTGTACCTTGTGAAAGGTACAACTTAGACCTTAAGCCATAGACGCAGTGGCCTTGTCCCCACCCGCAGTTTGGGATACGCCTGTATGTGTTTACAGACACTGAGAAGGATGATAGGCCACAGGGCGGGGTGTGTGTCTAGAGTTCAGTCTGCCGAAGGGAAACACCGTAATTTCTTATTTTACTGCCACCCCTGCTAATGCAGGGTAGCAACACTATTTTGCATAATGACAAATTACAAAACCAAGCATGTGAAACTGCACACAGTAAATTAAACCTATGAATTAAAAAAGCTAACAGGCAAAAATTTGTCCATTGGATAACTCAGGAAGTTGGGGATTTTCAATGAAATGAACAGCCAACATTTATTAAAAAAAATTTTTTCTCTAGACAAAACAATTGAGTATTCGAGAGCTTAGGAAGTATTTTTTCTCCTAAGTAAGTTATAATTACTGGTTCTGTTGGTATTTATACATAGGCAGGATCACAAGTGGAAGTTTCTGGTACACTTCAGATAACCAGATTGAGTATACATACTCTTGATGACCTATCACATCTAACAATGAATGAATTAGTTAAAATGCTACAGATAGAACTTATCATGTGAGAAAGATGACATGAATTTTCACTGTAAACCTGTTTTGTATCACCATATATTATTTCTTGAGTGCAAGAGACCTTTTATTTACTTACAGTATGCTTGGATGTTTATTTTAACATCTAAGAAGTCAGTGATGAATTCCGTCTTACCCTTTAACTTTTTAGGACCTTAAAAGGTGATTCATTTAAGATGGAAATTTTTAAGTTTTAGGCCAGTTCTCTCAGGCGTGTTCAACACGTGTTAACAGTTAAAACCCCAGCTCTGACCTAGAGCCATGCGTTATAATTAAGGCAATTATTGGAGTAAGCCAGAAGATTGAAATTAACCTGACTTCAGCCTATCACATTTTATACTCACACTTTCGAAGGACATTTGAAACTGCTGAGCTCTGAAAATGTACAAGACATAGAAGTATATATTGAGAAATACATTTAAATGTATCTGTTTCTGTTTTAAGATTCCTTCCCCCCCCCCCCCCGTCTTAGTTCCTTCCAACTGCCTTCCACTAATCCCTCTGTTTGGCTCGTCTTTCCCAGATAACCCCCTTTTCTAGCCACTACTTTGAAGGAGTAATTAAGTTTTGCATAATCCCTAGATGCCCAATAGTTTAGCATAGGTGAAACTAACGAATTCCCAGGGAGAACTTGTGCAATTTTGAGCCCCCAGGCTCCCCTTACAGATGACTGTAAGGGGAGCATGTAATGGGAGCATGTGAGCATTGGGGGACGTTGTGTGGAGGTGCCCTCAACTTGAGTGGAGCAATTTACAGCTCCACATATCTTAAGTTTGTCATTCAGAACAACAGTTGACTACACATATCTAGTCTCAGGAGTTCAAGTTTGTTTCCTTGGGCAGTGACTGTTTATTTGTTAGATAATCTCTAAGTCACTGATTCTAAAAACTTTCAAGTTAAATTAACACACATATTTAACCTGGGAGAAAAATAGCTATAGGTTTGCAAAACAGACTGCAAAAATCACTGCCGGAATGCTAGCAGGAACTGATTTCTTACCCGATGACTAAAGACCAGAATAGTACATGTAGTAGGACATTTCCATGACAGATGTATTTTATATGATACTCTTAATTATGTGCCTCTGAGCTAAAGAGTATTTCAAGTACCCTAGATGTTTCTAAAATAATTAAGTCTAAAGTGAATATATGTGTGTATGTCAATTTTTAATATTTAATAAATAATGTTTATTAAACCCTTCTGTGACTCTAGAACCTGTTCCCCCAGAGAGATTATTATATGGTTGAATTATATCAGGCAAGTACCCCTGAAATAAAATAGTGATGTTTGAGAAAGGGTGTATTGGCCATTCAAGATGAAATGCAATTATGGAGGACCTTGAAAGCCAAGAGTTTGGACTTAATGCAGGAGCCAAGTACTTGCTGTATGTTCCAGACCAGGCAAACGACGTGAAGGAAGTGGGATTTTAAAAACATTAATCTGATCAAGGGGATTAGAACTGAGGAATGGTAGGTGGTTGCAGTAAGATGGTTGTGAAGTGATGATTGCAGTTCAGTGCAGTATAAGTGAGGAAAGGGGTGTAGTCAAGATTCATTTCAGAGAAATACATGGATTATTGTGGGAATTTGGATATTAGAGATAATGAGTGAAGAGTCAGAGTCTCAGGAGTTTGAGCCTTGGTGAATAATAGGGTTGTTTGTGAAAGACCGGAGCTGTGGATGTCATTTTTCAGGTCAGTATCTTGAAGAGCATTGATAAAAACACGAGGGGATGAGCTGGAAGGAGTCAGTAGAGCACTTGGATGCCTGCGGTAGTGTACGTGTAAATGGTAAGGGGCACGGTGATGAAACAACACGGTGCATGCTGTTTAGATACTACCTTTTAAACAATTAGCAAAGGCTGAAGATTTCTTGATTTAGATAGTATGGCCCATCTCCCTCTTGGAAAGCTGATGTGAAAATCGAGACTCAGAAAATAAGAAAAATTAAGCAGTGAATGCATCTAAAAGGATTTTCATTTTTAACAGGATTCATCATAAGGTTCATTTTAACAGCTGAAATTCTTAATTTTCAAAGAGAATGTCATTTACCAAAATTTGGTCAGCACATAGCGCTTTAGGGCTACACTTACTGAGGCACCTGCATTCAAATAAATAGCTTTCTTCCAGAGCAGAAGATGCTGTAGGAAAAACTGCTAATGAAATGAAAAATATTAGCAGTAAGAATATTCTCAGTGAAGAAAAGTGAGGTCTTAATAACCATGTGTACACGGTACCCTGTGACAGTCAGCCTTCTGACTGTGCTTTCTACACTGTTCAGTCATTCCTGACGATGTCTTTCTCCCCACTACTTTGTAGGTGTATTTAGCCCGAACAGAAGGATCGTCCTCTGCATATATTTCCTGGAAGTTTGAGTGTGGATCAGTCGGTCTCAAAGTAGATAGCATTTCCATTAGAACAAGTAGTCAGACCTTTCAGACTGGAACAGTACAGTGGAGACTGCAATCTGGTGCAACACAAGTAGAACTGACGGGAGGTGAGCACCTGACGGAGAACTGCCTCTGTGGAGAGAATTATGTCTGTCTGAGACGGAGCTCTGGCTTTTCATGCCTGGGAATTATTCATAGTATCGAAGTAAAAATGTTACATTAAAAACCTATGTAACCTCCTAACCTCATAGAGGGCTGATGTTTTTTGTTGTAAAACACAAATACAAGGAGGAAAATGATTTCTTTGTTTCAAAGGACGCATTTCCTCAAAAAAGAATAAGTTGTATTTATTTTTTAGGGGTTGATTTCTACCTACAAGTCAGGTATATAAAATGCATTCCAAAACTATCTCGTTCTGTTCTTTACATTACCAAAAGTAAAATGTTATTTTTTTTTTCCTCCAACAGATAAAAAGCTTCGCTCCTATAATGATTTTTCTGGTGTCACTGAAGTTATTTTGGAAGCAGAATTAAGCCAAGGAGATGGTGATGTTGCTTGGCAACATACGCAGCTGTTTAGACAAAGCCTAAATGACCATGAAGAAAATTGTTTGGAGATAATTATAAAATTCGGTGACCTTTGAGAACCTGAATATTATAGAAATGCTGGCAATAATCAAGAACTTCCCGTGGTCTGAAGTTGTCCGTTGATTCAGTGCATGCTTTGTTGGCAGTTTACTACCCCCTGTGCTGGTATATTTCTTCTGCTGGCTGTCCGTCATGTAAGCCTCATGAAAGTATATCATTATGGTCTGGACCACAGCAAAATCTTGAATGAAAATCTCCCTTCCATGTATGGCTATAGTTTTAATGGTTAGAGTAAAGTCTTATTGCCCTAATATGAGATTTTAATCTGAAAACTATAAGTATAGTTTTAAAAGTGAAATAATGGTATTCATGATTAAATACTATTCATGACTATAGTAAAATCCTGAGCTAATAATAGTAATTTGACATTTTCTGATCAGCCATTGATTTCTCCATAAACAGTTGGATTAGATTTTCCTAAGATTTTTCATTTGTAATAAATGTGAAAGTATAGTATCTTTTAAGTTATATAATGCATAAAAAATTTTTATGATTGTAAAGATGCAGGCATTTGAGAAATAAAATGAATTATTTTGCCTTATATCTTTTTAGTGGTTACTTTGGCCAAATAAAAATCTTTAATAAATATGTTAAACGTTGAAAATAACTTGAATGAACACGAGTTATGAAAACATTCAACATTGACTGCATAAATTCAAAGGTGTATTGTAAATTCCATAACATGTGGACACTAAAAAATGCTTTACCTTTGAGTTTATTTTTATTTACCACATTGAATATAATAGCTATTCTTGACTCTGAAACTATGTAGTTATACAGTATTTATATACTATATCAGGATATTGTGTGTATGTGTTCCATATAACTGCTCCAGTTAGATTTAGCAAACGTTAAGCGTTTATGAGCAAAGCATTTTGATAGCATGGTGGCGGAGGCAGCGGTGAAAGACATAACGCCTGTCCTCAGAATGCCTTTTGTGATGTTCCGCAAAGTGAATCCTCAGCTCTTCAGACAAGGAGAGCACGTTCTCAGAGATTCTCACCCTGTGCCACTTAGAACATTTTTGTGAATTCTAAAATATGTAAAAATACCCTGAAACAAAGGTCTTACATTTGCTTTTTAAATGCAGCCAAACTCTCTTAAGGATCACTTTCTTGCTAAAGTTACATTTCAGAAGAACTGATTTATGCATTTAAAGTTATAAATATGTCTTGAATATTAGAGTTTTCTGGAACTCTCAGACTCTCGGTTAATCATAGCCTCCTGTAGTGGCCAAATAATTTAACCTGGAGAGAAACTTGACACCTGTCTCAAGGTGTCTGGTATTGACACCGTATTTTGGTGATCAAGTAGGCCAGCCCTCTTAACCCTTATGAGGAAACCTAGAAATTACCAGCAATTTTATGAAGATGGTAATGGAAGTGTGGGGGCTCAAATGTATGTACTTTATCTGTGAAAAGGATACAGTCTTCATTTTTACTGTGGTTTAAGCAAAAAAAAAAAATTACAAGAGTTTCAAATATCCGATGTTTTTATAGGCTTGACCTGATGAAGGGAAAAGTTAGTTGCACATTTACTTGTATTCTGTGAGAGTTCAACCGCAAGGGTACTGAATATATGTTAATAGATATTTTAAAGAAATTTAGGGAAATAATACAGAAGATATAAGACAAAACATTTCTCAATAATCTATAAATTTAATGATGGACATACACAAGTAAACTGATACCACAAAAGTAACTTAGACAAAGGATTGAGAGTACAGACCCCTTAACGAACTGGCGTTAATATTAGGGTATACTTTATATAGCAACCATTTAGAATCTTCTCATCTAAAGCCACATAATCTGTTGTCTAAAGAGTAAATTCTAAAGCAGTGAGGGAATAATTATAACAAGTTTATGAATTATGCTCCTGACTGATTAGCCTTCTACTGTCATTGCTCGTTGTTTAAAAAGAATTTATGCTGTGGCTTCAGGTCATATCCACCATGATGAAGTCCACAGAGTATACTTTTTTGTTGCAGTATCTTTTAAGAAGTTAACACTTTGCTGAAAATCACATCCCTAAGATCAGCAAGAAGTACAGTTGATGTTTTGATCAATTTACAACAAAAGTGATGCCCCAGATTAAAGAGGGACAGAGAACGCTTTATAATGGACTTGTGGGATACCGTGGGTTGTTAGAGAAAATCTAAGCCAGACTTCTCACTTTTCACTGAGCAGACTGAAGCCCAGAGATGTTAAATTACCTGTCCAAGCAATTCAATGAGTTAGTGACACAGGCAAGATTCATTTATATATCTCAGTCTTTTCCTTCTACCAGGTTGCAGAGTAATAGAATCAGACCCGGGTGTGAGTTGTCGTTTTAGTAGGTATTCATGAATATAGATGCTATGATAGGCATGTTCAAGTTGAGAAGTATTACCACTTGATATTAGAAACAATGATCTAACTATAGTTAAACTTTTCTGGGGACTAAATTTCTTGCAGTTAATGATGGATTACTCTGAATGTGGGTGCTTCGGTGTAAGTTTGTTTCTCAGTCGTTTGTACAATTTTTTAGTGATATTTTTTCTTCTACAACACAGTAAATTGTGTTTTGATTTTATCGTCTGAGCAAATATGCTCTCATAAGCTAACAGCTCTGATCCAGGTGGTGTTTCTCCCTTTAATACTGTTGGAGAAGAGTAAGACTGAAATGCAAGGCATGATTGGTTTTATTCTACTTGGCGTGTTTTCAGACACATCTAGGTTAACCAAAACAGTGCCTTATTTTTGATAAGAGAGTTAATAGCTAAAATGAACCTAAATTAATAGTGACCAATTTTTGAGTACCTACTAAGTGTCAGGAAACCCTCGTGGCGTAGTAGTTAAGTGCTACAGCTGCTAACCGAAAGGTTGACAGTTCAAATCCATCAGGCGCTCCTTGGAAACTCCACGGGGCAGTTCTGCTCTGTCCTATAGGGTCGCTATGAGTCGGAATAGACTTGACGGCAACGAGTTTGGTTTTTTTTGTTTTATTAAGTGTCAAGAAACAAACGACATAATGCATTAGGCTAATCTGCTGCAGAAGACCTTTTATAGTGTTAAAAAGCAAAGATGTCACTTAAAGGACTAAGGCGTGCCTGATCCAAGCCATGGTATTTTCAGTTGCCTTATATGCATGTGAAAGCTGGACAGTGAATAAGGAAGACCAAAGAAGAATTGATGTCCTGAATTATGGTGTTGGTGAAGGATGTTGAATATACCATGGACTGCCAGAAGAACAGATAAATCTATCTTGGAAGAAATACATCCAGAATGTTCCTTAGAAGTGAGGATGGCAAGACCTCGCCTCACATACTTTGGACATGTTATCAGAAGGGACCAGTCCCTGGAGAAGGACATCATGCTTGGTAAAGTAGAAGGTCAGCAGAAAAGAGGAAGACCCTGAAGGAAATGGATTGACACAGTGGCTGCAACAGTGGGCTCAAACATAGCAACAGTTGTGAGGGTGGCACAAAACAACGGGCAGTGTTTCGTTCTGTTGTACGTAGGGTTGCTATGAGTCAGAACCAATTTGACAACACCTAACAACAACAACAATAATCAGTGCCGATCACTTTTAGTATCTTATTTCATCATAGCAGCATTATAGGTCAGTTTGTTGTATTGTGGGAGCTTGAGTTTTGCTATGATGCTGGAAGCTGTGCCACCGGTGTTCAAATATTAGCAGGGTCACCCATGGCAGACAGGTTTCAGCTGAGTTTCCAGACTAAGACAGACTAGGAAGGAGGACCTGGCAGTCTACTTCTAAAAAGAATTAGCTAGTGAAAACCTTATGAATAGCAGCGGAACATTGTCCGATATAGCGCCAGAAGATGAGCCCCTCAGGTTGGAAGGCACTCAAAAGACGACTGGGGAAGAGCTGCCTCCTCAAAGTAGAGTTGACCTTAATGATGTAGATAGAGTCAAACTTTCAGGACCTCCATTTGCTGATGTGGCATGACTCAAAATGAGAAGAAAGAGCTGCAAACATCCATTAATAAATGGAAGATGAAATGTACAAAGAATGAATTGGAAATTATCAAAAATGAAAAGGAACGCATAAATATTAATATCCTAGGCGTTAGTGAGCTGAAATGGATTGGCCATTTGGAATCAGACAATCATGTGATCTACTATGCCGGGAGTGACAACTTGAAGAGGAATGGTGTTGCATTCATCGTCAAAAAGAATATTTCAAGATATATCCTGAAGTACAATACTGTCAGTGATAGGATAATATCCATATGCCTCAAGGAAGACAAGTTAATACGACTGTTATTCAAATTTACGCATCAACCACTAAGGCCAAAGATGAGGAAATTGAACATTTTTACCAACTTCTGCTGCCTGAAATTGATCAAACATGCAAGCAGGATGTATTGATAATTACTGGTGATTGGAATGCGAAGAAGAAGGTTTGGTAGTTGGAAACTATGGCCTTGGTGATAGAAACGGTGCCAGAGATTGAATGATAGAATTTTGCAAGACAAATGAATTCTTCATTGCAAATACCTTTTTTCACCAACATAAACGGTGACTATACACATGAACCTCACCAGATGGAATACACAGGAATCTAATCGACTATATCTGTGGAAAGAGGCAATGGAAAATGTCAGTATCATCAGTCAGAACAAGGCCAGGGGCTGACTGCAAAACAGACCATCAATTGCTCATACACAAGTTCAAGTTGAAACTGAAGAACATTAGAACATGTCCACAAGAGGCAAAGTACAATCTTGAGTATATCCCACCTGAATTTATAAACCATCTCAAGAACAGATTTGACGCATTGAACACGAATGACTAATTGTATGGTAGGTAGCAAGTGTTATCACCATTTTATAGATGATGAAACTGAGAGGCTATGTGGGAGCTAGACATACAGAATTTAATGCCTGTCTGTCTAACATCCATTCCCTATTCTCTGCACCACCACACATGAAAATAGACCCGAAGGTGAGACGTGGGTCTCTTAATTTTCTAAGGACTTGCTCTGAGGTCAATAAAACAGTAGCAGCAACAAGAAATACCTAAGTATGCCAGAAAGGGCCCCTGAAAGGCTGAAATAGTGCTGCCAAAGTCTACCCACTAAAGCTCATATTCTCTACTATAAGAAAGCTCAGGCCATCACGGAAAGACTGTTTACTGTTTTAAAATGTTTACATTATTGCAGGAAAGCCATTTTTATTAAAATTCCACTAAGGATATTATAAAGTAGAAGTGCTATTTCCGGTCCATACACTCTCCAATTTTTATATATTTATTTCTTTATCTGTACATTTCCCCAGCTCCTTTCAATTTTCTGTGAGGCAAACATACTCAGTTCCTGTAGTTGTCTTTGGATTCTTGCCATAAGGAATTGTGAATACCACGACTGCATTTAGAAACAGACTGCAGATCTGGCTGTAGTTTCTAGATAATACTCAACATGCTCCCTAGGGTTGCATAGCCCCACCGTAGCACTCTTGGTTTAAAAGAATTGTCATTAGTATTTTTAGTTGTATTTTTTTCCCCCAGCTATCTCTTGCTATTATTTTTTTATATTTTA